AGCGTTGCGTTTATAAAATGCCCAAATTCTTCCACTGAATTCGTGGAAGGCTCCTGGATCACCTGCTGCGACTACAATAGCTGTAGAGAAGTGGTCATTCATCAGCAACTACCAGCATAGTTACACTGGACACGCAATTTTTAAACATGAGTGCATAGATTAATAACGTCGTGTACTTATTTTCGGGAGTTGTTTAAACATATTGAAGCACTCTTCGCCTTTGATTTTGAAAATTTTCTATTTCACAATTAGTGCTACTGAATTAGTGTTACGAAACAAGATACGGTTTGTTGCTCGATTTCTCAAGATAGATAATTAAACAGTAGCCCTTCTGGTTATTGTATTTTTAAGAAATGCTTGTTTTTTAAAAGCCCTTCTGGCTAATTTCGAGATTTTCTTTTCAGTAGTCTAACCCTTCTGGCTATTCATTTGCTTTATTTTTTCCCCTAATTCTAGACTGTTTTAATGGAGTGGAATTTTTGTGTTAAGTTTTTTAAACTACTAATTCAACAAATAAGTTTGTTACAGATTCATCAACTTCCAAATGGATGGATGAAAGATGGAATAACATGGACTATGGAATTTTGAGGGAATGATGCCTAATCAAATGGTAATTAAATATATCTTGTTAAATTTATTTCACAAATCTTTTTGACATCAACAAAAGAATATTGTACGTAGAATGCACTAAATGTAGAAAATTCTGTAAATTCTATAAACTTTATTAAATTAATGAAATATCCAAAACAGAATGCTCGTTATAAGTTTTAATGAGGAGTAATACGAGTTGATTGGCTGCGATCTCGGTTAGGTTAGTTGCGTAAATGTAATCCATTAGATTAATGAAAAATAAATAATATATAGCTTTAATATCTGGATAACTATAATTTATAAGCATTTGGAAAATATTTCATTCGAATTTGTGTATTTTTCGTACAAAAATTTTAGAAAGTCTAGAATTAATTATTTCTTTTACTAGTTGTTCTTTTTTCTTTTCTCTAATTTCTCTCATATTATGTCGAACTTTTGATAAAATTTATTTGTGCGGATAGTGTCTTATTAATAACTTTAGAATTTTAATTTACTGCATGAAAAAAGAAACCACCAGAATACCATAAAACGTGGATAGAATTCTTCTATCTAATTCTGATGTAGAATAGTGTAATAATTTGAGTTGCTTCTAATTTCAATGCTACTAGCTTTCGGCATTTCGGTTATTGAAAATTTAATAACACTGTAATGGATTTGAAAAATCATGTTTCTGGCGCATTCGCTACTTGATCAACTTGGATCGTTTTACTTGACGTAGTTCCTCAATTTACCGTTGTTTAAGCATAGAGTGCGCTAAGTAGGCACTGATTTTTTAGTACGTCGGTATTTCAGAGCATGGGACACGAAGCCCCATAAGATGCTTGGTCTATTCATACCTTGTTTGTGGTTTAGTTAATGGTCAGATTGATTCTTTATCTCGTCTGTGATATTAGTTGTGCATCGCTAATATTAAAAACAATACAGAAACTATAATCATTACAACACAGACGAGGAATTATAAAAGTAGACTGCATAAAAAATGTCGGATATAACTTTCTTCTCATTTTTCACACGTACAATTTTCTCAATGTTTTTCAAAAATCTGCCAAACAATTCAATTTAAATTTAAATATCGATTTTATTTGTCGAATGTTCAAGTACGTGTGTTTCAGTAGTTTCGAGAAATTGCCGCAAGATGGCCGCGGAGCGTGGTCGTGCACCTGTAATGACAGCACGTGCTACAGCTGAGTGGCGGTTTCCTTCTTAGAAAAGTGAGTATAATCGTGTTTTAAAAGTGTTTACCGCCTTCCTGAGCTTACCTGCTGTCTTCCATTATTGTATCTGTCTTGTGCCTCGAATCGTGCCTCCAAGTTTCCCGAAATATCAATGTATTTAGTGGAAACGATCTCGTATTTACTCGATGCTTGCACATGTGCCGCCAATGCCACTCCAATAAATTGCAGATCGGTAAATAACCTTGGTAGAGAATGATGTCTACTGATAACAGAGCACTTATGACGACGTGACCCAAACACGGGTGAAAAAGTGATTATAGCTGCGACGAGTGTGAATAGTTTTGCTTAAATTATTGCTTGAAATGAATCCTTTCCTGTACTAACCTAACCCTTTGTGTGCATATATATTTCGGAACATCGTTAAATAGCAGGCCATATCACGTAGAATATATTTTGATGTAAGTAATCGAGATCGGAAACCGTTATTTTGGCGTTGTACTTTGGTTTGCGATCGTTGTTAATTCACTGGTGAATGTGTTATTTGAAAATTATCGATTCGGAGTTGGAGGTAGGATTTGTTCTTATCGATTGCGATTTATGTGTCAGTCTCGCTTATTGGAGCACTGTGATACTGTGTTACATTCGATTACACAAAGTGTGTTGACCGTTCTTTTTTTATTTATTGTATGATGACTATACATCATACAATAAATAATATAATGTGTATTATATTTGTATTTGTGAAATACAATTTGTCACATCTGTATCATATTTATTTTGTAAAAATAAGTGAAATACAGATTTTTATGAAAAGATCTTTTGTAGAAAGAATTCTCAGATGTTATCTGTTCGACGAACGTTGCGTGTTAATGGAAAAGATTATATGAAATAATTTTATCTTATAGATAATATGAAATTGGAGTACAAATTGTATTACGCAATTTTGGTAACATTTCCTTGTATGAAATATCGTAATTAGATAATAAGTTAGATAATAATTATTTTGTTTTTTAAACTTGATAGGTTCAAGATTTAATATAAATAATATTGACTACTTTGGTAGTCGCAATTTCTCATTTTATCAAATGTACCGAAATTTGTCAGAACGTTTTATTAAAATGATACTGATTCTGTATATTGTTTATTTAATTCAATTATTCATTTCGTACAATAGAGTTTAACAAAATCTATAGCAGTTTGTATAGATATACTACAATTCTGAACCAAAGTTGTAATAATTATACTCCAAAAATATATTATCTATGACAGTATATTACATTTTGTATTTTTATTTATAAAACGTAATTAATTCATTCCCTTTCAATTAAAATTTTTTGCAAAGATGTAAATTTAGATGTAATAATTTAAATTTAATAAATTCACTGGATATATTATATCATTGTTTTTATAATTCATATGTGTCATTGTGTTTTAATCGCTACAGTGCATTGATGTCTAATCGTTTATAAAGTTTATAAAAATAATTAATGCAAAATGTATTACATCAACGTTTCCCAAACCTTTTTTGACAGAAATGAGTATATCTAGTAATATAATGTTAGAATAATTTGATCAAAAATATATCATAATCTAAAGGTCTGCGTGATTTCAGGTGAAGGTGTGCGGCGGGAAAGGAATGTTTTGTTTTGACATCAGAGAGGCTTGTTAGAGTGAGTAAACTTACACCCTGTAGCGTTTCTCAGTTTTTTCAATATTTTAACTCGACTTGGCAGGATGTTTCATTTCTGATTAAATCGCAATTATGATACTTGATATGTCACTGGCCAGGAATTAATTTGCTTGTGCAATGGCTTTTGCGTTAACAAGAAATGAAACATATTAGTCGAAGTTAGCAATTAATATTTGCCTAATCGAAGTCGAGTTTGATTCAAAGAAAGTGCTGCGAGGAGATGCATTTAAAGGTTTAATTATAGGGGATGAATAATTTGTGTAGAAAGGATGGGAATAACTTACGAGCGTGAAATTTGTCATTGAAACATATTTATTAAAAATCTAGTATTTCTCTACATTTGCAGTAAATATCACAGGTACATGTTTCTGTATCACAAGATCTCCTCCGTTCGGCCACTTCGATTCGCTATTACGACAATTGTCTCAACAATAATACGAAGCTTCCAAAAATGATCGTCAAATATGAAAATTAATACAATCGGCCGAGGAGATACGTACATATAACAACGTTTTTAGCGCGAGATCAAATGATTCTCATATTCTCGATCCAGTCGCGAAAATCGTGACACAGTCGACGCGAGAAATATGGAATCGGTGTGTGCGGGTGTGGTGCGTGTGCATGTGTGTGTACGTGTGTGTCAGATCGTACGTTATGATTCCCGCGCTAAAATGGACAAAATAAAAAATATTCTTGATAAAAGTATGAAATAAACAATAGAAAACTCTAACTGTCAAGTAAATTAAAGCTCGAGCCGCGATCGTGCGGGCGTATCGTTACATCGAGATCCTAGGCTGTATCAACTTTTACGTTATGTCAAATATACAAAATTTGTCCGTAGGACGATACTACAAAGATGAACTTGCTTCAATATATATATTCACTCCCAAGTGTCTTGAGCAAATAGTATAAACCTTAAGTCTATGCCCTCTTCTTCTTCGTTTTTCTAAAATCTTCGACTCTTCGGTAAATCGGATATTTGCACATCGACTTCCTGCTAAAAGGACGCATCGGCGGGAGTAATAGGCAGTCGTCCTCGTCGTCTCGAATTTCCAAGAGAAAAGGGATCGTTCCGCGCAGAGAGACCGAAGTTTTCCCATTGATTCTGGCCACGATCTGCTTCGAAGGCGCGCGAATTATTCGCTCAAATCACAGACAAAATTGCAACACCGGTAATGGTCCTTCGCGTGAACTGTTCTCTCCTTCTCTCTGCGAAGAATCCAGCCACGAAGGTTTCGTATATATCGTTTCTCCTCTTTCGCGGATCCTGTTATTGTTTTACGTATCGAGAACTCGTATCGATATATAACCGGGTGTGCCGGTCCAGGGTTCGTTGATCCTCCGTTCGTCTGCACGTTTTACCACGGTCTCCAGATCGGCTCGTTCGGTTTGGCGACTTGCAGGAGGCCTTGGTGACTCTGCGAGATGCCCTCGACGTCGGTTCTGACGGGCGGCGATGGCTGGCTGGAAGCCGGAGTCAGAGGCATCGAGTACTCGTCGGAGCTGAGCTCGCTGCTCGACGACGGGGACGACTGCGGCGCGGCCACGTGGATCGTCAGGGGGCCAGTCTTGTCCATGGAATTTAATTTGTGGCCCAGATGGGTCATCAGTTTCGTCCCCAGGGCGACGTCGACGCCGGGAGTGGCGGCCAGGCATCGGCTAACTTCGTTGGCGCAGTGCGTGTACCCGGCTCTGAATCGATCCGCGTCGATCACCGGGTTCGCCGAGAGACGCTGTTGCCTCTGCAGCTTGTGAAGGTGACGCACCGTCAATTCCAGAATGTCGGCTTTTTCCAGCTTCGCAACGTTCTCGCCGTCACCGGCTAAAGCCGTCACCATCAGGTCTTTGAGCTCGTCCAAGCACCGGTTGATCCGTGCTCGACGTTTCCGTTCCAGCATAGGTTTCATCACCTGTAAATCGAAAGAAACGAACGTTACAGGCGCTTGTCTTTTCTTTTAGGAAGAAAGATCTTCCGATCCGAGTCGTGGAATATTTCTTTCTGTTCAAACGGGAAACTTTGAAAACAAGCGCTAGTCGAAGGGAATTTAAAAGACGCTTACCTTTCTGTACTGATAGGTCCTGGAGATCGGTTGCTCCTGTCCGTCGACCATCATAATCTGCTCGTGCATCTGCATGATTTAATCCCTTTCGGACGTACGTGTTCAGCTTCACACCACCGGTCAACCAAAGACGTCGCACTGATTACCGAAAACGGTCGATCGCTTGATCGCGACCACGGTCTCACACTCGCAATTCTTTTCCGCCTCTCCGTTTTCCGTCGCGCAAATGCGTCGTCGTTCTCAGCTAGTGATTGTTCGATCGATCGATCGATCTATCGATTCTCGGTCGAGGGAAACGTATCGGGCGAAAGGAGAGAGCGAGAGAGAGAAAACAAAAAATTGGCGTATCAACGACGCGTCTCCTCTGTTGGAACTTCGTGAACGATCACCGTGATTGTGGTGGCTGGTCGGGCGAGGCTGTAGTTTATATAGTCAAGGACCCATCGGCAGGGTGGGGCGAGGGGCTGCTGTCAGGGTCCCTAGTGGGGGACAGGCCTTCCGTGGGAACGGTCCGTAGAGGTTGGTTCCCAAGCAAGCACACCACCTGTAAGCGGCAGCTGCCAGACACGCGCCCACACCAAGCCATCGTCACCGTTTCGTCGTCCTCGTTGCACCTACCGTCTCCACCCGTATCTCCTATCTCTTCTGATCCATCCTCGGGTAGTCGTGCCGCGGTATGCACGGCTCAACCTTCTCTCCTCTCTTTCTTCTTCGGCTTCGCTGTTTCACGAAACGTGCGTCCATACGGAAGGACCCAGTATGAACATGTATCGACGCGTCCTTTCCTCCTCTACCTCCCAACTGC